TGCATTGTTTTGTGCCTTCACGCAGAATGGAATTATGCAGCCAGAAGTTTAGAGCCCTAAATCACCCTCGAGCCAACGTGAGTCTGCTCTGCTTCATTTTACCAACATCTGCCTTGCTTGTTTGCAGTTTTAGGAATGTGATTAATGTTCCCCCAGCCTCTCTAACTTGGTGCCTTTTTTCCCCTTCATCTTCCTCCCTCCCTGGTTTGGTCCTCCTTACTCTGAACACTCAGTCTTTGCATTTCCTAGAAGCAGCCCTAGAGCCTCTGCTGTGAACTGCTCACCAGCCAGATGCAGCCGGGTTCCTGGGACCACCCCCTTTTTGAGAACCAGATGGTCAACCGCTTGGCGTGCATGGCCTTGCTGTCAGCATGCACAACTAACTGTTTAGAGTGTATTACTACTGTACTATGAGTAGGGGATTTTGTGATAGACTGTGCACAGGCAGGTAGATTACAGGTGTCCACCTTAGTCAGAGATTCAGCTCAGGATCTCGTAGTGGATGACTCTGAACTACTAGATTCCGACCATTTCCCCTTCAGCAGGCCAGTGACTGCTGAGCTCAGAAGTGCGGACACCGGCTTCTCCCTGGTAAAGCTGCTTCTAGCTCTAGAGGTTTAGGTTCAATTGAAATGACACCAGTTGATGTCGTTCATTCATCCAGAATCCAGTGCTAGTGATGACTGAATTCTTTTGCTTCTTTGGCCACTCTGGCTGGGCAAGCTTTATACAAGGTATCCCCCGTGCCTCTCCCTGACACGCCGCTCTTCCTCCTGGGCTGTGGTACTTGTCGCTCTGGAGTATGTGGCAGCCGTTCCTCAGTTCTGCCCATGATCTTACTCCCTTCCCCCACCAGTCACATTTCCTGACTTTGGTTTTCTGGGCGCTGATCCATCTCCTCCTGACCAAGCACGTTATGGAACTCCTCAGGGCAATAGCTACCTTTTGTTCAGTGTCTCTACAGAGCACCGGTGTTGACCACCCCAGGACATTAACTTCTCTTCCTCCTTCAGCCCTAGCTGGGAGGGAAAATCTCCAAGTCTCTGTTGTGTCATTTGTATCTTATGTTGAGTTTCCTGGTCTGTATTCTTATTGATTTGTCTTTATATTTCCAGAACTTACCCCAGATCTTATATATGAGAGGTTCTTATAAATAACCTTATATAAGAAAAAACTTTTTTTAAAAAATAAGCTTCTTGAAGCTACAAAGCTTTAATCACAAAAAAGTTAAGCAAAATCTAGAGTAGGTTTGATGTGAACAAAGTAAAAGTTATTAGAGGGACTTGGAGCAGAAAAGGTCCAGATGAGAGGTCAGGCCATGGACGTAAGCAGGAGCCCAGCACAGTCTGGAGATGAGAGCGTGGGGAGAGTCAGGGGCACAAGCTGGTAAAGGCAGATACAGCATGCTTCCTGAAGCTGAGGGAAGTGGGCGCCAGTGCCTGACACACACCATGAGACTCAAGGTTTTGCTTAGGTTTTCTTCTAGGGTTTTTATGGTGTTATGTCTTATGTTTAAATCGTCAATCCATCTGGAGTTAGTTTTTGTATAAGGTGTAAGGAAGAGATCCAGTTTCAGCATTCTGCATATGGCTAGCCAGTTTTCCCAACACCATTTATTAAATAGGGAATCCTGTCTCCATTGCTTGTTTTTGTCAGGTTTGTGAAAGATCAGATGGTTGTAGTTGTGTGGCATTATTTCTGAGGCCTCTGTTCTGTTCCATTGGTCTATATCTCTGCTTTGGTACCAGTACCATGCTGTTTTGATTACTGCAGCCTTGTAATATTGTTTGAAGTCAGGTAGCGTGATGCCGCCAGCTTTGTTCTTTTTGCTTAGGATTGTCTTAGCTATGTGGGCTGTTTTTTGGTTCCATATGAAGTTTAAGGTGGTTTTTTTCCAATTCTGTAAAGAAAGTCAGTGGTAGCTTGATGGGGATAGCATTGAATCTATAAATTACTTTGGGCAGTATGGCCATTTTCACAATATTGATGCTTCCTAACCATGAGCATGGAATGTTTTTCCATCTGTTTGTGTCCTCTTTTATTTCCTTGAGCAGTGGAGTGAAAAGTCTCCCACTATTATTGTGTGGGAGTCTAAGTCTCTTTGTAGGTCATTAAGAACTTGCTTTATGTATCTGGGTGCTCCTGTATTGGGTGCATATATATTTAGGAACGTTAGCTCTTATTGATGCGTTGATCCTTTTACCATTATGTAATGCCCTTCTTTGTCTCCTTTGATCTTTGTTGGTTCAAAGTCCATTTTATCAGAGACTAGGATTGCAACTCCTGCTTTTTTTGTTCTCCATTTCCTTGGTAAATCTTACTCCATGCCTTTATTTTGAGCCTATGTGTGTCTTGGCACATGAGATGGGTCTCCTGGATACAGCATACTGATAGGTCTTGATTCTTTATCCCATTTTACTAGTCTGTGTCTTTTGATTGGGGAATTTAGCCCATTTATATTTAAGGCTAATATTGTTATGTGTGAATTTGATCCTGCCATTTTGATGCTAGCTGGTTGTTTAGCCAGTTAGTTTATGCAGTTTCTTCATAGTGTTGATGGTCTTTACAATTTGGTATTTTTTGCAGTGGCTGGTACTGGTTGTTCCTTTCCATGTTCAGTGCTTCCTTCTGGAGTCCTTGTAAGGCAGGGTTGGTGGTGATGAAATCTCTCAGCAGGTGCTTTTTTGTAAAGGATTTTATTTCTCCTTTGCTTATGAAGCTTAGTCTGGCTGGAAATGAAATTCTAGGTTGAAAATTATTTTCTTTAGGGATGTTGAATGTTGGCCCCTACTCTCTTTTGGGTTGTAGGGTTTCAGCTGAGAGATCCACTGTGAGTCTGATGGGCTTCCCTTTGTGGATAACCCGACCTTTCTCTCTGGCTGCCCTTAGCATTTTTTCCTTCATTTCAACCCTGGTGAATCTGACAATTATGTGCCTTGGGGTTGCTCTTCTTGAGGAATATCTTTGTGGTATTATCTGTATTTCCTGAATTTGAATGGTGGCCTGCCTTCCTAGGTTGGGGAAGTTCTCCTGGATAATATCTTAAAGAGTGTTTTCCAACTTGGTTTAATTCTCCCCATCACATTCAGGCACACCAATCAAATGTAGATTTGGTCTTTTCACATAATCCCATATTTCTTAGAGGCTTTGTTGATTTCTTTTTGCTCTTTTTTCTCTAATCTTGACTTCTCACTTTTACTTCATTGAGTTGATCTTCAATCTCTAATATCCTTTCTTCTGCTTGATGGATTCGGCTATTGAAACTTGTGTATGTTTCATAAAATTCTTGTGCTGTGTTTTTCAGCTCCATCAAGTCTTTTATGTTCTTCTCTCAGCTGGTTATTCCAGTTAGGATTTCATCTAACCTTTTTACAAGGTTCTTAGTTTCCTTGCATTGGGTTAGAACATGCTCCTTTATCTTGGAGAAGTTTGTTATTACCCACCTTATGAAGCCAGCTTCTGTAAATTTGTCAGACTCATTCTCCATCCAGTTTTGTTCCCTTGCTGGTGAGGAGTTGTGATACCTTGGAGGAGAAGAGGCTGGTTTTTTGGCAGTTTCAGCCTTTTTGTGGTGGTTTCTTCCCATTTTCATGGATTTATCTATCTTTGGTCTTTGAAGTTGGTGACTTTTGATGGGGTCTCTGAGTGGATGTCCTTTCTGTTGATGTTGAGGCTATTTCTTTCTCTTTGTTAGTTTTCCTCCTAACAGGCCCATCTGCTGGAGTTTGCCGGAGGTCCACTCCAGACCCTGCCTGCCTGGGAATCACTGTGGGGGCTGCAGAACAGCCAAGATGCTGCCTGTTCCTTCCTCTGGTAGCTTGGTCCCAGAAGAGTACCCACCAGATGTCAGCCAGAGCTCTCCTGTATGAGGTGTCTCCCAGTCAGGATATTTGGGGGTCAGGGAGCCACTTGAGGAGGCAGTCTGTCCCTTATCAGAGCTCAAGTGCTGTGCTCAGAGACCCATTACTCCCTTCAGGGCTGCCAGGCCGGGAAGTTTAAATCTGCTGAAGTGGATCCCACAACTGCCCCTTTTCCCAGGTGTTCTGTCCCAGGAAGATGGGGGTTTTATTTATAAATCCCTGATGGGCTGCTGCCTTTTTTCAGAGATGCTTTGCCCAGCAAGAAGGGAGTCTAGTGACAGTCTGCCTGCAGAGGCCTTGCTGAGCTTCCATGGATTCCACCCATTTGCTGTGTAAACTTCCTGGTGACTTTATTTACACAGGCAAGGTTAAAACCACCTACTCGAGCCTCAGCAAGGACTGACGCCCCCTCCCCACACCAAGCTTGGATGTCCCAGGTTGATCTCAGACTGCTGTGCTGGCTGCAAGAATTTCAAGCCAGTGGATCTTAGCGTTCTGGTCTTCGTCGGGGTGGGACCCACTGAGCCAGATCACTTGGCTCCCTGGCTTCAGCCCCCCCTTTTTTTTTTTTTTTTAAGGGGATGAGGGGTTCTGTTCCCCCGGGCTTCCCGGGCCCCCCTGGGTTATTAAAAAAAAAAAAACTGCTGGAGCTAAAACGGCTGCCCAGTTTTGTGCTGGAAACTCGGGGCATGGGTGTTGTAGGCACTGGAGGGAATCTTCTGAAGTCTGTGGGAAAAGCACAGTATCTTGGCCAGAGTGTTGGGAAAAGTCCCTAATGGCTTCCCTTGGCTAGGAGAGGGAGTTCTCTGGTCCCTTGCACTTGCCCTTGCAATGCCCCACCCTGCTTCTGCTCACCCTCTTTGGGCTGTACCCACTGTCTAACAAGTCCCAATGGGATGAACCTGGTTCCTCAGCTGGAAATGTGGAGATCACTCGCCTTCTGGCTTGCTCTTGCTGGTAACTGTGGACTGGAGCTGTCCCTATTTGGCCATAGGAGTATTTTTGTAAAATGTGCAAGTTGAGGGGAGGAAGGGGTGGTAGAGAAGCAGGGCAGCTGGCATAGCTCCTGGGGTGTTGGTCTCCTCCAGGAAACTTCTGTGACCCTCATCTGTGGTTTTGACCAGCCCATTTGCCTTTCAGGAGGACTGGCGTTAGCTCAGGTGCTCTTTTTCTACGTGAAGTACTTGGTGCTCTTCGGTGTACCAGCTCTGCTCATGCGCCTGGATGGACTCACTCCGCCCGCCCTCCCTCGCTGCGTGAGCACCATGTTCAGTTTCACCGGGATGTGGAGGTTAGTCGCTGAGTTTGCTACAGTTGATCAGGAGTGACCAGTGGGAGGAGCATGGCTGGACCGGTCTCAAAGGGGTTGGGCTACCATCCTCTTCCTGCCCCTAGCTCAAGCCGAATTTGGCATCCATTTCTTCATCCTACTAACAGGACGACTGTTCATGCTTTCTGGGTCTCATGATTACAATCAGTCTATGAAGGCAGGTGAGATAAGAAAGTTTCTCTGCAAGTCTGTGTACCCATCGATGTGCAAAGGGTTATGTTTGAAGTGGTTTCTTACTAACTTGGGAAAGGCTACTGTATCTTGATTTTGTAATTGCTTCCTTTTTTTCTTGAAAGCGACATTAGTATATCTGAGACTGTTGATAAAGAAAAATAGACTCAGAATAATAGCCTAGGCCAATGTTGCAGTGCACTATTTACTAAATCTCTCCGTTTCATTTTTCTTATCTCTTAAACAGTAGTAAAGGTAATCCCTGTCTCCAGGAGTTGTTTTGAAGTTTACCTAATCTTCAATAATAAGGATTAGCTTTAACCTTTAATAAGGATTTAGCTATGCTCAGTGGATGTGATAGACACTTTTTCTGAAATTTTCTTACTTTTCCAGATTTTGACCTGCAGTTTTATAGTTGGTCTGGAGTCTTTTTTTCCTTAGTCCCCTGCCACTTCAGATTGTTGTTTTCAATGTGATGGACTTAATGCTGTGCTTGTCTTATCACTTTCAGAGTGTAACAAGTGACAGGATTGCGTTTGCAACTGCAAACCTAGTGGAAGGACCTCAGGGTCAGCTCTGGTACAGCCATGGGAGTTGGTGCCCCATCCATGTGGCTCATTCCTTTTTAATTTTTGAGACAAGTTCACGCTATATTTCCCAGGATAGTCTGGAACTCTGGACTAGATCCTTCTACCTCAGTGCCCTAGTAGATGGGATCACGGGTTTATTCATTGTTAAATTTCATCTCTGTAGGCAAAAAACCCAAGACACAGGTAGGGGAAGAGCTCAGTAAATACTGCTGTACCTAATGTGGCTGTTCCAATGGAGTTGAGTAGCATTCAACATTCTTGTTTTTCATAGTGACTTATTACAGATGTTGAATTTATCAAAGCCTCTCTAAATACATTTTATTTTTGGTCGAGTTGGGTTGTTGGAGTGAGAACTTTCATATGGTGATTGCAGGGAATGTCAGGTAGTTACTTTAATTCGTCCTTAGTTCATGAAATACCACAGGTTTCCCTGTTTTAAGGGCAAGATGGGGGAATGTTGGCAAACAGGTGGTCTCTAACTAGAAGACCAGGGAGTGGTTTTTGTTGAAAAGATGGGCCTAGTTGGGAGGCTCTGTTAACTTTTGATCTACTCATCAAAGTAACTTACTGAGTCAATAGGTTGGGTCACCCAGCATGATTTGGGAACATGTCACAAGTGTCTGGTGTGAGCTTAGCACAGTCCTCTGTCTGCTCCATGTGAATATTGTACTCATGCATTCCTTGGGAAGCACATTATCCTATAAGGCTTCTCTGGTATTGGCTGGCATGATAAAACCGTAACCCCCGGAAGGCATGCTGGTTTCTGGGTCCCTGTCCATAAATACCAACCCATTGATTGTCACAAGACGCAGTTTAGGCTGCTGACTATATTTCATACTCAAAACAGTTGTCTTCTTGTTCTTTATTTTAATAATTCTTTTTTGTCCAAGAAAGACCCTCAGTTCTATATCAACCACAGAGACGGAGAGAACATGTCTGTCAAGACCTTTGTCACTGTCTTGATGAGGACTAGACTCAAATATTTGAGACCCTAGGCTGCTGAAACAGTCTCTCCTCTCACTTAAAGTTTTAAGTCAAATGTGGACAAAATGAAAAGTTAATCTGAGGAGGAAGCTCTGGGTTGACCCCTTAGAGTGATGTGGTTCTAAAGAGGTGTTTCTGAGAGCATGTGATAAAATAACAGAGCTTTCCTGGGAGTGACCTAGACTCTTACCCTAGCTTCTTTGGCATGCATAGGTGTAGGTTTTCCTCTCCACAGTGTTAAGTTTCTTGAAGGATTTTCCAGGCTGCCAATTATACTTAGAAACACAAAGGTCTTTGTACAGAATGGCCATTACATATTAAGCAGTTGGATTTAGGTGTGGAGATGAACTTTTTCTGAGCTCCAGCGTACAATGTAAGACTCAGAAGTAGTTTTTTAATTGAAGAAAAATAAAATAACAATTAGAGTGTTTCTTTTGTGCAATTTGCAGATGCTCATTTACTAATAGCAGGAGTTGAACATGTTTCATGTTCAGCATCTGGTGGCATAACCCTGACACTGGTCCTGGTCTCATTCTCTAACTTTTCTCTTTAAGAATGCTCATTAAGGGAAACTGAGTTTTGAATTTGTAATTTCTATTAACAGCTAACTTAACTTACTTTTTCTGGGCCATCTGTTGCGGTATTGCTGCAGACAGGGAATGGCACTCTCTTCCTGGATGTAGGTCTGAGAAGAATTTGGTCATGAGCCGATATGAACGCTGGTGATGCAAATTATTCTGCTGGGTCATGTCAGCTATTCACACGGTGACATAAAGGGTTTGGTGGATGGGAAGTGGAGGGAAGAAATGTTAAAACAATCTCCAGAGATTGTTTAATGGTTACGTGAACTTCTCAAAGATCTACCCTGAATGAGGTTTAGAACTGCTGATAGAGGAATTTAGTCCCCCGTTTTTTGTTTTGTTTTGTTTTTATATATATATTTTTTATTGCATTTTAGGTTTGGGGGTACATGTGAAGAACATGCAAGATTGTTGCATAGGTACACACATGGCAGTGTGGTTTGCTGCCTTCCTCCCCATCACCTATATCTGGCATTTCTTCCCATGTTATCCCTCCCCAACTCCCCACCCTGCGCTGCCCCTCCCCTAGTTCCCCCTGACAGACCCCAGTGTGTGATGCTTCCCTCCCTGTGTCCATGTGTTCTCATTGTTGAACACCCACATGTGAGTGAGAACAAGCGGTGTTTGATTTTCTGTTCTCGAGTCAGTTTGCTGAGAATGATGGTTTCCAGGTTCATCCATGTCCCTACAAAGGACACAAACTCATCGTTTTTTATTAGCCCCCCATTTTAATGGAGCCATACCATCTTGAACACTGCTGACTGATTGCACCATCTTTCAGCCTACTTAGCATTGAGAGACTTGAAGTCAGCAGCCTGCCATATCAGAGGAATATGAGCTCTACATCATAGAAAAGATAAAAGTGGCCATTACCAAAGAGATCATCTTCCATGCCATGCTAGTTCAAATTGACTGTGAAAAACTGCAATTCACCAAGAAGGCCCAAACCTGAAACTTGGTACTTGATGGGTTTGTTTTTCTTTCCTCATAAATCTTCTCTTTCATATAATATCTGCTCAGGTTATTTACAGATATAACAAGACCCCAAGGAATATGTCTGTTCCAGCTTGCATGATTTTTCTGTGTTCTTAATGGATTTGAGAAATTGAGAATTTTCTGCTTAATTTTTGGATTTCACATTTTAATTTAGATGGGCTGAGATCTGTAATAAGCAGTTTTTGCCAGGAGTCATTAAAGATGACGTTGCATGTCTGTCTCCAAATTAGAGATCTGACCCTATTTTTGTGATTTGATTTCTAGTTACGGAAGCAAAGCGATAGAATTTCCCATGGTGGCTGGTGAGTTATGGGTCAGTTTCAATTATTTCAGGAACCCTACACAGCTTGCCCTCTGCATTTCTTGAATTATGATGCTTTCAGGTCGTCAGAGGCAAACTCATGCATCACTGCTTATCCCAGGGGGATCTGGTGCTGTTGGTGGCTGCTAGACCTTAATATCCAGGAATATCTTTAAGCTGGGGATAAGGAGGAATTTGAGCACCTTCTTTCAGTGAGGCATTGATTACATGGGCTATTAGGTCAGTAGAATTTAGGTCCCTAGGTAGAGAGTTGGTCCAGCAAGTTAGATGATAAATCAGCTCGACAAGCTGCTGGCTTTGCATTAGTACTGCCTTTGAATTGTGCTTAATCACCAGTTTCAGGGCGGGATGGTGGGCATGGAGTTGGTGAAATATATTATCATGTCTACAAGCATTGTTGGGTAGAAAGCCGGAATCAGGTGAGTATAAAGAAGAAAAGGTGGAATAAGTGCTGTTAATAAAAGATTGCTTTTTTTGGCAGCAATGTAGTGACTAAGAGCTGGCTACCTACTAGCTATGTGACATGGGACAAAGTTCTCTGGGCCAGTCTTTTAATCTCTAATATGAGGAGAATACTACTACTTTGCTTCATAGGAGTGCTATGAAGATTGAGCGAGCCTGGCATATAGTAGTTAGGAAGTGGTATCCTGTATCCTGAGGATCCCATATCCTCAGGAAGTGGTAGCTTCTTAGTACTTTTTTTTTTTTTTTTTGCTTGAAAATCTAACAAAGCCAGAGGTGACTGAGAGGTCCACCTGCTAATGGGCCGGGTAGGGAGGCAGTGAGCGAGGATGGGAGCGGCTGAGGGAACGTGCCATTTCAGCTCTGCCCTGGAGATGCAATGATTCAGAGAGACTATGGTGGAAGGGGTACGGGCTGTACCTTCAGAGGAGGGGCCTTGGTCTTGTCATTTTTGTCTGTTGTTTTCATGTGAGAGGGGGACTGAGGTGTCGGATGAGACTAAGAAACGGCGTCTTGTCACTAGGTGATGCCTGTGTTCCCTTCTTCGTCTGTTAGCCCAGCCACACTGAAGGGAGATGACCACCAGGACCCCTGTGCTAAAGCACATCCACCCCACAAATCTCTCTATTCCACTCATCTCACTGCGTTGTTGGAAGGGTTAGGCAAGACCGTGTACTAAAGCGCTGGATACACGGTGGGCATGCTGTGAACACCAAAATAGAAACCATCAACCATCATGACACCATTTTATAAATAATGGTTGATCATTACAAACAGGAGAGTAAAATTTACAGCATTTATTCATTTGTGGTTTTATCTATGAGATAGTGTCTCACTCTGTCACCCAGGCGGAAA